TGAAAAAGAGCGATCAGGACCTAATTTGGCAAACATAAAAAAATTGGATGCTTATAATAAAAAAAAAATAGTGACACATACTTGCGCAACGTGAAAAAAAAAAAATTTTTTTTCGTGAAAATCAAATTTTTCGGTAAATTATGGTAGGGGTGTGTATAATATTTTGAATTTCTCACTTTCTAGAACTTAACAAGGGAATAAATGCTATTTATTTATTTTCGATACTGTATAATCAAAAATTTTTTATAACAATATAATTTATTGATGCGGAAAATAAAAAATCAAATTAATTATTATCGGCAAATGGTTTTCTTTTAATAAGTAATTATAAGCAAATTGATACAAGGTTTTTTATGTTCCGACTATTTAATGGTCAAAGGTTCACCGATTACTTTCGCATACGGAACTTCATTCAAGTTGTCTTGATGAAAGAAAAACATGAAATATCCTTTATATGTACGCAATATTTCCAAATCTAATTGATGAACTCTTTTATTACTAACAATATCAATGTTATTTGCATTTTTTTTTTTCTTTCTTTCAAAAAATTATTTCCGCAATGTTTTAATTTCTTACCCCATGTGCGAATGATAAAAACAGATTTTCACAAATTTCTTTCATACATATACATTTTGGATGTGTGATGACTCTGTGCTGCAGGCTATAAATCAAACTGTACACTATATTGGAGTTTACACACAATGAAGTTTTCTCACGGTCCTATGCATTTAACCCATTTTGGAAACAGGATTGAGAGTTAATCAAAGAAGAATAACTTGCAGAGTTACGTAATTGAAGGAATTTTGTTTTAAACAATAAAGTCAATGTATGGTAAACATGAATGGCCTATTAAACGGAAAGACCAAGTTAAATTTTGTTATAAAAGGATGAATCTTTTCTCTTCTTCTATAGCTATCCTACTACTTATCTTATTCGAAATATCCTAGCGATCCGTTTCAATTATTGGAAAATTTTATTGCACTCCCCAACTAACTTTTCAAAAATGATGTCCCCTACTACCTTTGAACATAATAAAATTGCCTATGGTCACAATATCCGAGGATTTGACGCTCATGTTCCGGATGCTTTTGGTTTAAATCGAGGTGATTATTCGAAAGTTTCTTTCGATGAGATTTCTGGCCTCAATTTATTTGGTTCATCCAGACTTTTTTGTTCATTTGTCTCTTCAATATATTTTTGCATTCTATAGTGCAAATGAAGAGGTACTACGAGGAGGTCTATACACATGGACCAAATCCTCAAATCCCGCTTTCGCCTGCTTCAATCGCAGGCGCCGCAGCCTACAAGGTAATTATCGTTCTTCGCTCGGTTGATTTTCTTCTTTTTGCTGATCTATTCTTACCCATTCGTAATAGGCCGTGTTCATAATACAACCAAGTTTTGACTACGTAAATTATTCTCATGAGGTTAACAGAATAGCAGACGTTGCCGCTCGGGAAGCACTTTTCCTGTTACAACAATTTCCGTTGCCCAATGTGGATCCCAAAGTTGTTTCTATATCGGCAGCGGCTGGCGCGCATCGTTTGTACAATCAACATTGTCAACATCTCTGCTTTGAGGAAAAAATTCTGCGTAATATGGAGGGCCCCATCGAAAGTATACATTTTACATCTAAATTTTAAATATTTCGGAAGTATTCGGGCGTTCGGGTGTAATATCACGTACATATGTGAATAATGTTCATTTACCCCACAAAACATGTATTTCAATAAAACCATATCATGTAGCAAATAAGGAAATTTGGATTTTTTCGGGAACATAATTATCGACGTACTCATTGTATTTACTCTTTGGGTGATTGAGGCTTGATGTACATAATTATAAGGAGCCTCATGAGATTTATTTAGTTTTTCTGCGGGAAATCAGGCCATTTTTAATATTCCCATTGCGTAATAGTATTAAATATTGTAGGACATTCTATATATCAACTTATATTAATCATTCGTTACTAAATTAATACTAGAAAAAGGAAACACATATCTTAGATATAAATACATAAATGGTTAAATCCTGTACGACACAACTTCTCGCCAATAAACTATGCAATCTTGAGTTGTAGTGCAACAGAATAGTATAAAAGAGACTTACTTTGTCGTCTCCTATCTTTTTAACTGACAAGTTTTCGACTGTAAAGACCAACTCGACTCAAGCAATTATCACAAATATCCAATTTTTCATTTGAAATTTACGAAAATGACGGAAAATACCATTCAATATAACCCAGGTATTTATTTTCTACCAACCTTTCCGGTTTTTCGCACGTAAAAATCGCAAAGATTTATTTATTTATCTTTCTTTCTTTTCAGAACAAATGGAGCAATTTTACAATCAAATTTACGTCAATGGACCAAATCCAAAGCTTCCAATTTCTTTAGTGACAATTGCGGGTGCGGCAGCTTTCAAGGTAACTTTTAAACACACAATCTTAATCTTTTATCGTAATTTTTCGCTTCATTAATATTTTCATGGATAAATAGGCCGTGAGACAACATAACTCGGCACCAAATTCGCCACGTTCTCTTCCAAACGATCCGCAAGATGATCATTCATACAGAATTAGCCTGGTTCGAGCTGCTGCTGCTCAAGAGGCGTTTTATCTATCTTTATTCGTCCCCTTGCAAAATGTCGATTCTCGAGTGCTCGTCAAATCTGCCGAAGACGCCGCCCATCAGTTATATGATCTTACGTGTTTTTAATCGAATATTCTTTCTTTCCTTTTGAAAGGACATCATTTAAATTTATTCTCATGTAAAAAATTTCTATTTTTTTTTTTTTTACCACTTATTCATCATCTGTCCTTAATGAGAATCCGTGAAACATAATTCCTTAATATTCGTTTTCATAGATTCTTAAACAATCGCTCTGTAATATATTTCGTCAAGTTGTATAAAAATAATTTTAATAAAAAACGGCATCCATTAATTAAAATACATGACATGATTTCGGCATCTACGCGTCGTGATCGATAGTTAATCACATTATTTTCAAGGGTCGCTGATTATCTCTGAGATAATTTTCAAAAGAGACTAACTAATTATACTATTGGTATTGTTCATTAAAAAAACTAGGTTCAAATATGTTATATAAAAAGTTAAGTACTTTGAATATATACTGTAACATTTAAAAAGCAATAATCAAAATACAATTTTATTTTAATTTTAATGTTATTTGATTCCTATGGAAAATTGTTATATTGTACATAATAAAAAAATATACTGTATTTTTATAAACTAAATACTGCATACAAATGAATTTTAGTATATACAATGTAAAATAAAATAATATACTGCATTTTTGTATTGCAAATATTAAAAAGAACCTTGAGAGAATTATTCGGACGGTTATTTTCTTTGAGGTTACATTTTCCCATCAAATCCATGTATTATGACTATATGTTGAGCTTTGTGACCTTAAAACGCCTGGTGATTGTTTCAATATTGTTCGGTTCATTTATTTGCTAAAATTGAACTAATAACGGAACAAGGGGTAAGAAAAACAAATGTGCGCAAGGTATTCCAATTCAGAAATTATTTATTTGGGGTACATGCATCAAGTAAACATATATGCGTAGTGTACCTGGGACCCATGTACGCACCTGCTTTGAACTCTTTCCCGTGTGATGAAATGGCGAGCGTATATACAATTTTCGCCCTAACATTTTTTTTTGTTACCACACTTCATATTACATTTTACCTTGCATTCAATTCATTATTTCAAAGATCCATTATTCACAAAAATCATTGGAATCTAACGATAATTCATACGAATGACGTACACTCGCGTTATGGTATGATCAACAAAGCTGCTACCGATTGTTCTAGTGAACAATCCCAACGGCATGAGTGCTTTGGAGGAACTGCTCGTCATAAAACTGTCATCGATCGATTGAGAAGAGAGAACAAAAATTCTTTGCTCTTGGATGGAGGAGATCAATTTCAAGGTATAACAGAAAAATTTTCCATTATTAGAAAAATGAGTCGTTAATGTTCCAACCGCTACTTTTAGGGAGTTTATTTTTTACCTATTATAATGTATGTCATCTACTGCATACTTTTATCCGATCTTGTTATTATTATAACATTATAATTTCATCAAGTTAACGCACCATCTTTGTCTGCCAAGTAGGGCACAATAAATTCCGAGGTCATGGTTAGTAAATCTAAATTTAATCTACATAATATAATATAACTCCACTGACCTCTTTAACGTTTAACCAAAATGGCTCAACTTCCTAATAGAACTTACTCGGTTATAACGTTACGGTAATGATCTTTTCAGTAGAACACCTGTAAACTATTTTCAGTTTTCACCTAATTGTTAAATCATCTTAGGCCATTGGAAATCACGAATTTGATAAAGGTCCTGATGTGCTAACCTCCCACTATTCACGATTAACCATGCCGATTGTATGTGCGAATATCAATACGACATTAAACCCAACGATAGGCAGATATATCAAACCCTACCACATCTTTGAGGAATATAACCTCGCAGTCATTGGTTATATAACAGATGTGTGTGTGCTACAGTCTTCTCAGTTGTTGAATAATATCATGAGTGATAATCTTTTTTCTAAAAGAAAGTTGTTTTATTGATACTAGACCGCAGGAGGTATTTCAAACAGCGGACCGACACTTCAGTTCGAAGATCCAATTCCAATTGTCCAACATTATACTAACGAACTTCGAAAGATGGGTATAAAACGTATTTTGACCGTCTCGCATAATGGCTATGATGCTGACAAAGAATTGGCTGCAAAGACGCATGGAATTGCCGTTCACGTGGGGGGTCATAGTCACACCCTTTTATCTAATGACCCAAAATCAAAAGACTATCCACTTGCCAAGGGTCCTTACCCCACCGTCGTGAAAAATGCTAAAGGAGATGACGTACTAATTGTACAGGTAATTAACTACACCATAATAAACCTCTCTCACACGTGTCAACATCACTTGAACTATTGGATTATATTAGGCATTCTGGTCGGGAAAATATATTGGTCGTCTAGATGTATCTTTCGACGAAGAGGGTAAACTGATCGAATTCTCTGGTGCCCCAATTCTCGTTGGTCAATCAATACCGCCAGATACTGCTGTGGAAAAATTGGTGAAAAAATGGCGTGCACCATTTAAAAAATACGCGGAAACCATTATTGGATATGCCAATCTTCCATTTGAATATAACTGCCAAAAACACAGGGAGTGCGCAATGGGTAATCTAGTCACCGACTCGATTCTTTGGTCGATGAGAAAAATCCTAAAAGTTCATGCTGCATTTATTAATTCCGGTGGAATTCGGGCTGGTATATTAAAAGGAAACGTTACACTAAATGATATACTAACAATCCTACCATTTGGTAATGAATTGGTGAAGTTGAAGTTAACTGGACAAAATATCACCGATCTCTTGGAAAGTGCGGTCAGCAGAGGCATAAACAAGATATCAGGGAAGAAGGTTACCAGCTTCATTCAAGTTTCAGGGCTTAGATTTGTTCTTGATAGTTCAAAACCTATATACCATAGAGTGCAAGAAGTGCAAATTCAGAATAATGAGAGCAAGTTATTCGAGGAGTTGGATCTAGAAAAAGTTTATGATATCATTACCCTTGATTTCGTGGCTAATACTGGCGATGGGTTTGCATTTATATTTATTATACTATTGTTCCTCGTTTTAATCCATTTTCAATGCTAATACAACAACAATGTTCAGATTGCTTCCCGAGTTAAACCAAGAAATCATATCACTGGGAACAGTGGATTCCGCTGTTATATCTTACATCCAATCTCAAGGTACCATCGAACCACATTATGATGCTCGCATAAGGGATCTTACCACCTCGCTTCTGGTGAATGAAAAACCATTTTCTCCACATGAACCAGTTCATTTTGGGTATATGAAATCAAATCTTAATGACTTGGTACGCGAAGATGAATTGGTTTCGCAGGAAGATGAATCTCTGCTCGTATAGGCAATTGTCGTGCAAACGTTAATCTATTTTTAATGTTTACAAAACTTTCTGCAAAATAATGCACATCCTCGAATATGTTAAGACAGGAGTCGTCTCATAGAATAGGAATTTCAAATGTAATTAAAGATAGCCGGTTAATAAACTGTTTCCCACAACTAGTGTGTTCAATTATTTTTCACTTAAAGTCCACTACTAAACGTATTTAATTTAAGTCTTTAAACGATGAATCTTTATTTCCATGAGGCTACTGTGATAAAATAAAAAAAGCTCACGTTCATTCGACCATCCTAACGATCTGCTTCTTACCTCTATACTCTTCTTCCGCTTTCTTTAAAATTTCCAAAAATCCGTGATGATTCTCATCTTTACCCCATTGATTTTCTTCATATGCGACATCACCCAGCTTCCCTTGTTTAATCAAATCAATCACTTCATTCAACATTTGCTCTCTCTTTTCTCTGGGGTTAACTTGGTTCCAGTATGAAATCCAAAATCCTCGAAACTTTAAATTTTGGAATATTAACTGAGAGGCCGGAATGGTAAGCGGCTGTCGTGACATTGCCCCATAGGTCACTACTGGACTCGAATGCCTATCATTTTTGATCCAGATCAGTCAGTGTAAATATAATCAAGAATGGAATAAGGTGGGCAGTTAAAAAAAATAGATTCATTACTTGAGAAGTTTTGTCATGTTGATTAAGCTTTTCCCGCCGACACAATTTAACCCTAAAACAATTCCTTTTTCCTCCGTCTCCCTATGCCATTCGAACTCATTTCGCTGTTTCGATAGTAGATCCTTATCGCTAACCACGTATGTTGCGCCAAGAGATTTAAGTCGATTGGCGAGCTCTTGAAAGTTTGGTCTGATAATAAATAATACATCTGCATCAATGTTCTCAACCACAAGGTGAATAAGAACACACAGGTGATGTGAAAATCTTTTACTCACCTGTCTCTCACGACATTAATTGTATTAATATCCCATGCTTTGGCAATTTGAATTACGGCTTGACCAACGCCACTATTTGCACCATTCTGAATGATATAATCTCCTGTGAACAAAGCGAGTAGATCGTTACTAACTTCATATTGTTGCAAAGCTAAAATTCCCATTATCTAAATACCTTTCTTAAAATCCACGAAATCCTTCAACATACGATACGCGGTACAAGGATTAACACTTAAAGTCGCGATCTGAATTAGCCCAACCCCTTCGTGAGGAATTCGGATGACATCTTCGGGTGTGGCTTCAGCATGAGTTCTCCAGGTTCCTGTACAAGTTTTTTTGTTAAGAAACCTAAGATAAATCAACGAGGAAATCCACCGACAAAAT